ATATATATATATAATTTGCATATAAGTTTCATTAGTGTTTAATGGCATTTTTGTTTTAAATAGATAGCATTTTTTTTTTACTTAACATAAAATATAGACAAATAATTTGGGAAATGCAAGACATACATTAAATTTATCCGAAAAGCTACAATAACCCTATATAATAAACAAAAATTTATTTTTTATATATAATTATAATTGATCATCTTACCAAGAAGTATAAGAGTCGGTTATTTTTATTTATTTGTCATGATTCTCTAAAAAGTGGTTTGCCCAGGCCTTCCCAGTTTCCCTTAATACGGAATTAACATGTTTTTTTTACATCTTAAACTAATTGGTAAATCAGATAATTCCCCTTCATTTGATGATAAATCAATTAAAAATTTAACTATCTCCGAGGTGGGAATAAATTTTTAAAATTATATTGAATACGATTGGGCTTGGAACCTCAAAATTTATATTAGCTTGCACCTGACATGGGAATATCTTTAACAAATTATTAAGGGTTGAGCTGGACTGGATAAACAATAATTATATGCTTCCTAATGTTGTGAGCTTGGATCTGGCATGACATCTATCGTAAAAAAAATGAATAAAAATCTCATTCCCCGTCATTTTTGACGGGCTTTCTACTAGTTAATTATAATTGTTAAATTATATTTATACCGTTGTGCAACAAGAATTATTTAGATTTTTTTTAAAATACTGTTGTATTAATAAATTATTAATATAATAATCTGTATAAAATTTATACATTTTGAAATTTATTTTATTGTATATTATCATTAAAATAAATACATAGTTAAATACAGGGATGTTATTTATACTAAAGTATATTAATAATAAATAAATCATTAATGAAATACTCTGTAAAATTTTGATATATGCAAAAAATTAATTAAAATAATTATTTTTAACATATAATAAGATATTTTAAGTAATGATAAAAAATAGAGGTTTTTTGGGGAGAATGCGGGGGGGGGGGGGGGGGTAAATTATTTTTCTTTCTACACCGAATGGATTGAATTATTTTACAATTGAACACTAAAGATTGATAAAATTTTCAGAATAATGCTTTCAGTCGCCTATTAATCATAAATTTAGCCAATGTTATTAATATTTTTTTTATTTATGCTGAATACTTAAGTGATTAGACACAATGAGACACTATTAAAGCACAAAATTTTGACAAATTTTAGAATTAGTATTTCCAATTTTTCAGCCAACTTTAAAAAAGATGATATAAAGATAACTACCAAAATTAATATTATATATTTTTTTTAGAGACCCGGATGAAGGCTAAAGGAAGTTTGGGAGTGAAGCCCCACCCCCCCAAAAAAAATTTTAAACCCCACCCCCCTATGGATAAATTCTTACGCCAGGTAAAGTAGGATAAACAAATAAATATATATTTACAGATATGTATATTTATTATAAAAAATACATGTACAATCATTTATGAGTTTAAAAAATCTTGAATAAATTTCGGTATTTCTTGTTTCCTTGCTCTCCCTCATACATAACAGACAATCTGTGTTTGTAACAGGAATGTTGAGCCAGTATTTTTGGGGTACTTTATATACATATGTTTTCATCCAAGTCCCCAAAACAATTTGAAAACCCTGATTGAATCATAAACTCTTAGGATATCTAAATAAACAAAATATATAATATGTAAATTACCTTATTTTACATTAAGGTAAGAAATAAACTTCATTTTATTTAATAAATTATAAAAAAGATTATAAATCTAGCTTCAATAAAATACGTACTGCTTTCACTTTAAACAAAGCTGCGTTACTTAAAAAATGTACTGCAAACGCTCAATTTGTGCGTGTTATCAAAAAATTTCCACCCATATCCCCATGATCGCATATTTATTATTTTTAAAAATATTCAAAAAATATAAATAAAAAAAAATATTAAAAATTTCCCCGAGTTTTAGTGAGTTACGGAAAAATGATAGAATATTCTATATATAATATAAATAATAATACATTATAAAATATTGAATAAAAATATATATAATATATGGTAGAAAAGATTTCCACATACGTTGAATTAAGAGGGAAAAGGAAGTGTTTCAAATAAACACTTGTAATTCCCTTTTAGGATTTCAAATGTAATTTTTTGTTTGAAGGAAAGGAACTTGTTTTTAACCCCCGTCTTTATTGAATTTTTTTTTAGCCATTTGATTTAAAAATTTAAGGGATTAATGACCGGGGTTTCCCAAATAACTAAATATTAAAGGGATAAAAATAAAAGAATTTAATAGGGACTTATATTTATTGCATCTTTTGATTTCTTGGCATTTCAAGAGGTCAGAGTTTCTATTATAGGGAAATGAGGCATGACATGACACATCCCATACAAGTCATTTGCCGCTCAAGATTTTATGCCATCGGGACACTTACCATCATCATTTAAGAGATCTAACGGCTAAGATTTGCCGATCAACCTATTTAGAATGTCATGTCGCAAAATAGGGCCCTGACTTTAAGGCAAAAGAAACAATGCCTAGAAAATGGATAAACTTGCTTATTGTTTGCAGAACAGATGTCAACGAACGGGATAAGACAACCTAGCTTATGACCAATGGCAATTTGAAACTCATAGTTTGTGAGTAACATTTCCTTTTCTTCACTCGATATCGCGCCTAGCCATTCATGGCCTTTGGGATTTTTTTTGCGTTTCTGAGTAGTTGGAGGTTAGTTAGATCGGGACACAAACAAAGTTTTTCAAATGCACATTGAAACATGGGAATTGGGAAGCTGTTTAAATGGCTGAAGACTGGGTTTGCGGATCCTTGGAGAACTAGAGTAAGCCAAGATTGTTTGTCAGAAGCTAAAAGTGGATCGTTCAACTCGGTAAGCGAGGAAATAGAGTCGTTAAAGGATATTCATGAAGAAAAAAAACAAGCAATTGTTATTAATTTGGAGGAAATCTACGTCCTCCCTGGTAAGCAGGTAAAGAGGCAAATGACTAATTTAAGGGATTCGATGAAATGTTTAAATTTTAATTCGAAGGACTTAAGGACGGAATTATATAGGAAAGGCGGGGAATCTTTAAAGATGTGCAAGAATTTAGGTAAGAAAAGAATTTTTTGGTAAAGAAGAAAACTGATACTTGGGAAGCAATCCTAGAAAAAAAACACCCAGGAAAAAGACCCCTGAAAAAACCCTGAAATTTTTTTTCAAATTTACTTAAGACTTAATAATATAGGTATATTTTTATTTGGATTATAATAAAGTATAAACAAATTTGTATTTTAGAAATAAATATTAAAAAAATATTATTTAATAAGCTAAAATTTTTTAGGTCCTAATTCATTTTAAAGATTACTCATATACCCGCCATAAAAATTAAACAAATTTTGATGTTCAAATTGGTACTGGAGAAAAATACCTTGTATTCCTTATTTTCGTAAAATTTATTTGCTATAGTAATAAATACAATATGCATTTTTAGTTACGATATTAAGTAGACTAAATTTTTCAAAATTTTGTAATAAGATATATTTATTTTATTAGTAAATCATGATTATTTATATACAAATTTAATAATTTAAAATAATAATTATATAAGTTGACATCGAATATTGAAGGAAATGGCGCTTATAAAATCTGGATCACCGTATTCCTCGAAATGTTTCTTTAACCGAATCCTAGTATCGTAACTCTACGATTTGGTTTTCGGGGTCCAACTACCTATACGCCATCCTTCAAGTTTGGTTACATTGGTAGCCACCTCGCATTTCATTTTTTTAAACAATAAGATTAGAAAAACGATAATTACAACCTTGGCATTGATTATTTGTGCGTTCTTCGCTGGATAGAGTTCTCTGATTCACGTTCCAAGTTCTGAAGGAATTCGAGGCTAAATTCGATGTGTCTGGGATTGAGAGTTGCTTCTTGTGACCTACCTTGATAGAATTTTTATCGAAATAAGAATATATTACCATTGCTAGGAGTAACCGATCTAAGGATTCTCATTGCATTGCTCATATCACATAAAAGAACAAATACTAAGACGTCAATCATGCCACAAAAGAAGCATAGAATTTTATCGGTCCTGTATTGGCTTTCCAGACCTATCTGAATTTTTCTATGGATACTATGACACAAATGGGAAAAATCATCCTCTGATTACGATTTGATCAACTAATTGTATAAATAAATATAAATAAGATAGTTTTAAGCACACTCATAGCAGACTTTTTGTAATCTATGTATATATAAAATGGATCAGTAAATAAATCTCTTTCCTGAGATTTATATATTATTATTTTGAATTTTTCATAAGTATTTTACGTTTTTTTTGGAGTACACAACAAACAGCGGTAGTGTTGTTAAACGGCTCGTTTTGAGCCGATTTTTAAAAACGGCTAATTCAATATTATATCCAGAAAAATATTACGGAGGCCTGAAGATTTTGCTCACAGAAGGAACAAAGGTTTAGACATATATTATCGAAATCTCGAGGCTTAGGCAATATTTTTCTGCCTAAAATATGCCGTTTTAAAAAATCAGCTCAGAGCCATTTGACAACACTAAACAGCGGTAATAAAAATAATGTTTATTGATACTCTAATGACATATAATTTTAGAAAATATTTTGAGACATAACAAAATTTCCATCCATATACAATGATGTCGTATTTGCTATTAAATTTAAGAATGCATCTGTTGAAAACATTATTATACGTTTTAGAGCAGGTGGGCCATTAAAAAAAACTTTTCGAGTTCTGGGAAGCACAATTAGCCTAATCACATATAATATATACATTTTTATGAAAATACAATTATATTTATTTGCAAAATGTTGACTGAGAGGTAAAAAATTTTTTATTAGCTTAATGAAAGCAGTCAAATTTGCGATGAGGGGGGGGTCAAATTTTTCCATTAGTAACCATCCTGATTTGTTATTCATTTAATAAATATTATGTATTTTATTTTGAACTCTATTTTTAGTTTCTATTTCCTTGTGGATAATTTAAAAGTTTTTATTACGAATTATTTCCGGATAGCATGGATAAATCAGGAGTATGATTATGATCATTACATGCTTTAATATTTTTTTTATCAATTTTAGATATTATATACATATGAAGATAATTTTCGGGCCTATAAAATATTTATAGCTGCCAATTATTCTGGTGCCGTAGTTAAACAATGTTCTGATTTCGTTTTTGGGGAAACTAATAAACAGCCAGAGTTTTTAAAAAGATTTCCTCTTGGAAAGGTTTTATTAAATAATTAAACCAAATAATTCCTTATTAAGGTACCTGCCTTTTTAACTACTTCAGGGTTACCTATATTTGAAAGCAATGCTATTGCTCATTATGGTAATTTTAAAATATAATATGATGATACCATAATTATTGATTTAAATGATGCTTGATTAGTCTTGCTGAGAATTTATAAAATTATATTTAATTTATATAATAATTTAGTGGCAGATGAAAAACTCACTCCAAAATTACATTACCAGCATTCTTTGATGATTCAATGGATACAATTTGCAGAGAATGAATTTTTGCCCCATATTTCATCTTGGCTATTTCCATATCTCGGAATTACATTATATAATAAACAAGTATTAAATTTTTATTTATAATTTTAAATTCTAAAAAAGGCAGAAGACTTGGCTATTAAAGAAACCTTAAAATGCCTTGAGGTGATTGAAAATCATCTCTTATATAATACTTATTTAGTTGGAGAACGTATTACCCTAGCTGACATTGTTTTGTCATCATATCTTGTTAAGCCCTTTAAAATGGTAATTTTTATTTAATGTAATAGTTTTATATTCTTATTTTATTATAGATATTGACTCCTAATTATAGAAATCAATTTAAGAATACACTAAGGTGGTTTAATACTTTAATGCAACAAACTGAATTTAAAAAAGCTATTGAACCTATGGTGTTATGTGAAAAAGCCCCAGTAATTCCAGGTATACTTAAAATTAGAATTTTACTTCCCATTAAAAAGCATTCAATATATGTTTTCATATATTGAATTGTCAACTAATGGAATAATAAAAAATTAATGGGTGGGAAGGCTTATTTTTAAACTTTCTCATTATTAAATTTAACAAAATATACAATTATAGGTATTTTTATATATTTAGCTATTAAAAATCAGCAAAAAATAGATATTCCTAAACAAAACATTTCCAAAGAAAAGCCACAGAAAGTATTATATCTATTATATTCTTATTAAGTTTTAATATAAGAAACAAACTAAGCCCAAGGATGAGGATGAAGAAGATGATGACAATATTGGTTTACTTGAAGAAAAAAGTGCAAAGGATCCATTTCTCGATCTTCCTAAAGGGTTTGTTCTATGCTTCTTTAACCCATATTGCAAATATTTTATATAGAACATTTAATCTTGAAGAATTTAAACGTGTCTACTCCAATAATGAAACATCAGTCTCAATACCCTATTTTTGGGAAAATTTTGATGTTGAAAATTATTCTATTTGGTATTGTGAATATATATATGATGAAGAATTAAAAAAGGATTATATGAGTTGTAATCTTATTACAGGTTAAAATTAATAATATATATTTATCATTATATTATCAATAGGAATGTACCAGAGACTTGATAAAATGAGGAAAAATGCATTTGCTAGTGTTGTATTATCAGGCCAGGAAAACAATTTTGTAATATCTGGAATTTGGGTATGGAAAGGACAAGATTTAGCTTTCAAAGTATTATTTACTTATTGTAATAGATCTAATTGATTGCTTTTTAGTTAAGCCCTGACTGGCAAATTGATTACGAGTCTTATAAATGGAAAAAATTGGATGCTAGAGATGAATCTACAAAAAAACTTGTTAATAGTTATTTTTCATGGGAAGGTGATTTCCTTGGGAAAAAATTTAGTCAAGGAAAAATATTTAAATAATTTATATTTTTAAATGAATATTTATAGTTATTTATCTTCATTTCAATAAAGAATTTTATGTACTTCATAATAAATATTTTAAGAATGCATCTATCCTTGCCAAAAAGCTCTAAAAATCTAATCCATATTATAATCACCAAAATTTTAACCTGCCTAAAGGTTAATTTCTATAAATGAACATTTTTTACAAAGGAATTTTATTAAAATTTATTTTGTGTAATTTAATAATTATATTAGTTTAATACATCTTAGATATATAATAAATGATCTCAAATTTTTTAAATAAGATTCTTATTTGTGATGACTTCATTTAGGATTTTAGCTTAAATTTCTAATCAACATCTACATTAATTTTCGAAATATTTTAGATATTCCAAGAATTTTTTAGCCAGATATATATTATTTAAATAAACTGGTGGGTAATTTCAGACTCTTACATTTCTTTATCACATACTTGTGATACTGAGTAGGCTTTGTCTAGTAAACCTTTAAATATTCTCACAGAACATTTTTTTCATTGTTTTATAAAAATCTTTTACACCAAAAGTAATTTTTTTACAAAATTTGACATTGTGAAAAATATTTAAATATAAATCATTTATCAAATTAAAGCATTGGTAAATAGAAGTTGAAAAATTTATTAAATTTTTGGTAGTCAAAATTTTGTAGATTTAGATATTTGAAAAATAAGTAAAAAATTTGAAATATATTAACTAAAAACAAAATAAGATGGAAAACTTGTCAAATGATGTTCTTATTGATTTGAATGTTATATTGGCAGATATAGATAGAACAGATTTATTTCCTTTTCCAAATATTTATGTTTTGAGTCAAAAATATTTAACCACAAATTATGAAACTTATATCGAGCAATGATTCTCTATATTATAATTTATATTATTTTAGCCTAGTTTTAAAATTTTGCAATACCCCTGAAGTAACCACAATAATATGTTAAATTAATATTTTAAGGAATAATTAATTAATTTATATGTAATACCATTTTATTAAAGTGATTATGCCCATATATGGGATCAAAGTTGTTAATCCTTTATTGCACTGTGGGACTATGAACACCCCAGTCATTAAATATGTTATTACTTATAATTCTTTTGGCATTTTTGCCGAAATCTTTTGGTAGCTTAACATTTAAAAAATAATTTTGATTTTTTTAATAAGTTCAAAAGATATAAATAAACATTTCTACATCATAAATTATTTTAATATCACATGACATTTTAAAATAATTTGTCGCTTTTTTACCTGTGCAATGAAGGGCTCATTTGGTCAGTAATTCTACAGACCACTTAAATATATTTGGTAATTTTTTATTTTCATAATTCAAAATTAAATTACAGAAATACCTCAAAACTAGTTTTTATTATTAAAGAGTCTTGTTATTCCATATTTATATATAGGACAATATAGTGTGAATCCAATAAAATAATATTGAATGAATGATTGTAAAATTTAAATGTATTATATTCATAATTTATAATAAGGAAACTTTAAATTTATATCAAATACAATTAAATTGCACTATAAATTTTCATGAAACCCTACCATAATGATCTAAGGGGTGTCATAATCTCCAGTTATTTGTTGGTGTAGAAAAAATTGATTGCAATATAGGTCTAGATATATAAGAATTTTAAAATTAATATACGTTATAAATTAAAATCTTTAAGGAGTTGTTTCTTCGAATTTCTTCTTATGCATCTTGAGCATGTGTGATTTGCCTCGTAACAATTCCTTATTGTATAAATCAAAATTAACAACATAATATTAGTGGAAATTCATTAATGATCAAATTCAATAAGAACACCATACCTTATTTCAAATATAATTACTATCAGATACCTGTAATGAAGTTTGAATGTGACGAGACAGAACAATCCCCAAAAAATAAATAAAAAAATTGTATTTTATTACGCAATTATAAATAAAAAATATAATTTAGAGTAATTTTGTAGGTTTTATAAAATGAATATTATGAAATAAAAGCTAAACTAATCAAATGATGTTAATTAGCTGAAGGTTATATTTCAAGGGTCAAATATTTTAAAATAATATTTTTGTGATAAAATCATATAATTATTGTACATTTTGGTAGAATGCCTTAGTAAAATAGAATCAAACAAAATGTAACAAAACAGAATGGTTTCTATTATATATTTAACAATCATATTTGCAAATTTTCAATGGACATTACCAAGCTAGTATCGAAATGTGTTTTTTAAAATATCCCAAGAAGTAAAAACATTTTTAACTGAAACGGGAACTGAATAGCATTGAAAAAAAGTTCCTTTGTTCTGGGTTACTGATTATTTTATAAAATAATATTATACTCATGATAAACGGCTAAGCATGTCGAACATAATGATACACCCTGATCAAAAGGGTAGAGCATGGGTTCCACTTTGCAATATTCGCATATAAACCCTTTTCCTGAGCATATCTAAAAATTATTTTAAAGTCTATAGGTTTTTTTAATGTAAAACAATTTCAATATAAATATTAAAACTATCGCCGATTAGTATTTTTCAGATAGGGATATGGACGGAACTTTGGGGAAATTAAGACGCTAAAGAAATGGGAACATTCCCCTGTTCCAAAAAAGATTCTAAAAATTTTAAATATATAAAATGGCTCTTTCATAAATATTCGTTTTCCTTTCTTTAATTCCAGTTCAGTTCACATAAATATTAATTAAATTACTCATTATTTGTTCTTAGTATTATGAGATTTTAAGATTATAAAAGCATTTTTGTTTAAAATCAAATTTAAAATAACTAACTGTAACTGTTTTATAAAATAGTTTAAAATAACTACTGTTTTATAAAATGAATGTTAAATAATTAAAAGTTTAAAATTCCAAAAGTTAATTTTGTTACACATATTTATATTTGTTGCGTTATTCTAATTTCTTAATCTTATTATATATTTTTATATTCTAATTTTTTGTTATTTGTTATAATCTAATTTTATTTTATAAACGGCGTAACCTTACTTTTTTATATATTATTTTACTTTTTTGTATTTCGTTTTATATTCTAATTTATATTTTAGAAAATGTATAAATACCTTAAGAAAAGAAAAAGAAAGAAGTTAATAAAATATATTTTTACTGACTCGAACCTCGCGCTATATCGTCACCACCTTTATTCTTTGCATGGTGCCCTTTGGGTGGTGGACTAGAAAAAGATGACTACCTAATCTGCTGAGATGACCATCTAATCTATGACGATTGCTTAATCCATTGAGATGACTCTATTTATATGACTACCTATTGTGATGATTGCTTAATCCATTGAGATGACTCTATTTAGACTACCTATTGTGACGATTGTTTAATCCATTGAGATGACTCTATTTATATGACTACCTATTGTGATGATTGCTTAATCCATTGAGATGACTCTATTTAGACTACCTATTGTGACGATTGTTTAATCCATTGAGATGACTCTATTTATATGACTACCTATTGTGTTGATTGCTTAACCTATGGAGATGACTACCTATTATGACTCTACCTTGTGCTTAACCTATGGAGATGACTACCTATTATGACTACCTTATCTATTGTGATGTTATGACTACCTTATCTATTGTGACTACCTAAACTACTGAGATGACCAAGAATCAAACCTTAGTACGTTCTTTCATGCAAAAAGCTTCTTTCTTTATGGTGTCCCGGCTCTGGATGTTGGACTGGAATATAATAGCCAGCACCTAACCCAATGTGACAACCTAGGAAGAACTGATATGGAAGTTGAACGATAGGTTATGAATTCTATTTGGTGAGACCAATGATGGTTACTTATTATTCTAATCCACGTAAGAAGTATTATAAATTAAAATTTTATGCCAGGATAAAGGCATGTTATAAATTTTTAAAATTACTAAAATGTAAAATCATAATGGATAATATTGATATTTTTTGATTTCTTGAATGATGACCAATTGTTGTAAATTAACATAAACCTAAAGATGAATTCTTAAATATAATTAAAAATATTAAAAATCCTAAAACTTAATTTTAAATATGTTAAAATGTAATTTTTAAATCACATGATTGATTCAAATAACCTTCATAAGTAATACTTAATATGATAAAAGTTTTTGAAATTAAAAGCTTTGAAGACAAAAAGTTATGTAAAAAAACATTCATTTTAGAAAAATATATTTAAATATATGTGGTGAATTTTCAAAACTATCTTATGAAGAATTTTTTTTTTTGAATTAAAATTAGGGTGTGAAATTTAAAATTTTATTTAAAGAGAGGGAAATGTGAATAATATTTTATTTGCATATTTTAACCTGGGAGATAGAAAATAAACAAAAATTAATTAAACACTAAAACACGAAAAATTAAACGCTTATAAAATATAAAACGCTAAAAATATAAAACGCATAAAACGCTAAAAGTATAAAACGCTATGATTAACTTAAAAATAATATAATAATTATTATGATTTATCATTCCTTATTCTGGATTTTATTCCTTATTCCATAAATTATCATTCCTTATTACATATTTTATCATTCCTTATTACATATTTTATTGTTCCAAAATTCAAAATTTTATTCGTGCATATTCATATATTTGATTTGATCAACTATGCCAAATTATATATTCCGATTTATTCCAAATTCCAATATTCGACTGGATTAATTATGAAACATGATAATAACAATTTTGAGGTGAACAACGTACGATAAGGATATCAAGCCAACGATAACGTTCAACGATTTTATCAAACGTACGCGATTGATTCAAGCCTACAAAAAACGTACAAACTCACGCAACTCTAATAAACGATTTCATCAAACCTACGTGATAGAATCAAGCCTACGAGAACATTTGAGACTTATGCGCTAACCAAGAAGAAACCGAATACAATCGAAACGGGAAAAACTTCTAGAACAACAAACTCTATATTTCTCCGATGCGTTATTCTAATTTCTTAATCTTATTATATATTTTTATAATCTAATTTTTTGTTATTTGTTATAATCTAATTTTATTTTATAAACGGCGTAACCTTACTTTTTTATATATTATTTTACTTTTTTGTATTTCGTTTTATATTCTAATTTATATTTTAGAAAATGTATAAATACCTTAAGAAAAGAAAAAGAAAGAAGTTAATAAAATATATTTTTACTGACTCGAACCTCGCGCTATATTGTTAAGAGCCATATTCTTTGCAATATTTAACACCAATGTGAAAATAAAAATGATAATATTTTTGAGAATATCTTAATTAATCCTAAGATGTAATAAATAGTAAATATGATATGAATATTCCGAAAAATGGAATGTAGCATAATTATTTGCCAGGTCGGGAATGCAAAAATGCCTTTGTTCCATATCTCTAATTTTAAATCCCTAAACAGCTTAGCATTGAATCTTAGTCTAATATATAATAATTATCTTAATCTTAGAAAAATCATTTAACTTCACAATTTTGTTTTATGTGTATGATGTATGAATTGTAGATGAGTGATAATTCTGGTAAAAGGACATCATTGTTTAGGTCTATCAAATCTTGAATGGAATACATGTCTGAATTTTCAACAAAATGTTGCCGATTGGATATCTATTTTTAGAATTAAAAAATATATATTAAACCGGATATATAAAATTTTAAGAAGGTTTATGGCAGTTATAATAAAAATTAATTTGATTTAAATCGTGATTTTAAAAAAAATTATAATCAATTTTTAAACAATTATATCAAATAAAGAAATACATTAAAAATATTTTTAGAGCTTACTCCAACATTTTTTAAAATGATAAACATTGAAATAAGAGAAGGTTGTTTATTATAAATTTGAATATGATCTTGGTTTTAGGTCTTATGCTTTTAAAACTTCAACAATGATGTTGCTATGTAACTATATAATTTTATGAACCATCAAACGTAAACAGTTGGTATATCATCCGCTTTCTTATTTTTTTGCATATAAACGCATATTTACTCGGGTCGTCCTTGTAATTAAGTCAACATTTTTGCATACTGCGCGAATCTTCTTTCCTTTAATCGCATTAAAAGAATTCCAATCTTATTTAGACCCGCAGTCATAAGGAAATAATAAATATTTTACACCCAAAATTTAGTAATGTAACTATTTCTTTTTTTTTCTTACATAATTTTTTACTATAAATAAAAATGATAAATTAATCAAAAATTTATTTTGCTGGTATTTCCTACTAGAGGTTAAATGGCAAAATTCTCAGGCTTGGTCCAGTGGGAATTTATTTTTTGCCTGGCATGACCCGGAAATTTTTTTGCCTAAACAAGCTTGGTTTCAATTTTTTACTAAGGTTGCCAGGCCTGCCCCGGTTTTTAAATTTTAAAACAATTATTTATTATCTTGGGGAGTGGTTAAATTATAAATACTAAATTTTATGAATAATTACTTCTTATGAAATATCATAATTTACCAAATATTATTCAAAAAATTTTTTTTCCTAAATTTTGCCCAGCCATGAAATTTTTTGCCTGGTCCCGAGTTAATAAAAATAATAATTTTGACCCAGGTTGATAAAAAAATTTATTTATTTTAGGCTCGGCCAGGGTTTATTAAAAAAAATAAATACAGCATAATATCCGGGCCGGGCTTTGATCTAGACCTACAGGTCTTTAGTAATCGTTAAAGGACCGTAAATATATATACACATAAAGTATTAATAAATTATCTATCACAAGAAAAACAACTACAAAAAGGTCATTAAATATATATTAATAAATGTTTATTAATAACTACCCACAAACCTGATTAATATAAATTGATAATTTTTGTAAAACATATTAATTATATGTTCTTATCAGATTTTAACCAACAAATCTTAAATTTATCATAGCTTGTTATATCATATTAAAACAACTTTTTCAACCAGTGTAACCATAAGAAAATCCAATAAAATCATTTTAACCCGTTTTGTATGTCTTTCAAAACTATTATAACGTTTTTTTTTAAATTAACAAAAAAAATCAAAACTCAATAAAAAACTTTTACCCAAAACCATGACTGAACCTTTATAAAACTTTGGCGTGTGAACTGACCTTTAATAATAACGGTTCAATTTCCTGATATATAAAAATTTGAATATTTTATTATTGTAAATAAAATATTAAAGTTGACGTTTATATTGTCCCAATTTTATTTACCCACTAGTGTAGTAAAAAAGCGCTCCATTTGTGTCGATTTTTAAAACGGTTAAATCAGTATTTTGACCTAAAAAAATATCAGGCAAGCCTGAAGATTTTGCTAATAGATGTCACAAAAAATTTGGAAATCAAATTAGCGAAATTTCGAAACTTAGGCATTTCTGGCTAAAATATTGAGTTAGCCTCTTTAAAATCGGGTCAAATGAAGCCAATTTGCCCTACTAAGCATAAACTTTCGAAATCACTCAATCACCGCAAATAAGTGTGGGAGTCATAATGTTACATACATAAATTTTTCATGTTCAAAAAAAATTAAAAATATGAAAGTAAATTTACTTTAAGCAGCAACTTTTCTTTGATGGCGCGCTTGCAGGTTGTCAGGTAAATTTTGATGTACAAGAGATTTTTCCTCAGGACAGACAATCTTTGCAAGGTACTCACCTTGGTGAACAAGGAAGAATTTAAGTCTATCAGACTAACCACGGGCTTGAAGCGCATGAGTTCTAAAAAATGTTTCGATTTTTTTGAAACACCCCTCGGTTTAAAATCCCAATTATGCAAAATCCGAGCTGGTATGGGCATGGTATCATTCCTAAAACAGCTATCACAGAAAACGGCGCCGGAATAATCACATATGTTTAGATTCAAGGTAGGCTTATCTATTAGTAAAATTTCAAAAATCGTATTTTACGATATCAGATAGAGTTGCCCATTATAAGAACAAACTAGTGTTGTTAAATGGCTCGTTTTGAGCCGATTTTTAAAAACGGCTAACTCAGTATTGCATCCAGGATAGTATTACTCAAGCCTGAAGATTTTGTTTGTAGAAGGAACAAAGGTTTGGACATCTCTTAGCGAAATCTCGAGTCTTAAATAATTTTTTTCTGGCTAAAATATTGAGTTAGCCGTTTTTAAAAATCGGCTCAAAACGAGCCGTTTAACAACACTAGAACAAACCCCACCCTTTACATTCCCCTGCCCCAAATAGGCCCCGGGTGAGAGTTGTTAAAACTGTACTCTCGGATGTAGCTTTGGTAGGGGCATGAAAGTCACTGATTATAAAATAAATTACCTAAATCAAAAATGGTTTTACAATCAGCACACTTAAAATATTGGCTATATAATCCGGTTTCTGGTCTTATCGTTATCGTGTAGGAGGGGCGAGTTTTGACTATATTTTTAACGCAATTGGTTTGGAGCAGGGAGGTACATTTTAGGTGGCATATATAATTGCAATCTTTTTTTAAATATATGTTTCAAAATAAATAAAATATAAGCATAGAATTTAATTTTTTTTAACTAGTATTATATATAACAAGTTGGGAAAATTCTCAAAAAAATGTATTCGAATATATGTTAGTATCAATGCGTTTTATCCGGCAATGTGTTATTTTTATAACTTTAGATCGTTTTTTGGTGTTATTTTGAATTTAAAAATCGTAGACAATTTTGCAGTTAACTTTTGAGTCATTATATGAAAAATTGAATATAAATTATATTAAGTTTAAAAGTTCACGGAAAAATTGTCTGAAATTCATAGGGTAGGTGCTCCAAACATGACAGTATATATTTCCGGTAAAATCAGATACTTAAATTTTTAAAAAACGTGTACAATAAATGATTTAAATTTGAAATAATAACACATTGCCGGAAAAAACACATTGACGCTAACATAAATAAATACCAATACATTTTCGAAAAAAATAAATTAAAAAAATATAAATAAAAGTACTGAGATATGGCAACTTTTACAATTTTTTTGAATAATATAATTTAGTAAATATAAGAACGTAAGATATACATCTCTCTTATCTAAAAAGATTCTTATTTGATTTTTTAACGTTTTTTTTTAAAATTAGATCTCATTAATTTATAAAATTAGAACGAAGGAACATGGAATTGCCTTGCATTCGACAAAAAAGAACCTTTAGGTATAATAATATGTTAAATATTGGTGAAAAAAGAATAACCTATACTATTTTATAATATGATTTTCTATAACTTGTAAATCCGAAAGAGATGGGCATGTTGTTTTAAATTACTGATATGCCTGAAGGCGAATGAATACATAATATAAACCTTGAATCGGAGGTAGAATTATTTATTAATTTATTATGCATTTTAAAAATGAGTGCAGGCGGACCCTGCATATAACCAAGATTATGGATGTTTACCGATCATATGCGACAACAGATATAATAAATTTATAAAATCTTTAACATCATGTATATATTTTTAGTTTATTTATTTGAGGTTGGGAAAATAAACTGATATAACAAAAAATTTAGTTGGTATTCGGAGATTATTGCCAACAGGGAAACGAACATCTTGAATAAACTAATTTTTAGAAAACTATGGATAGTATGGAGTAAGGCATATCGGTATCGGCACCGATATTGGACTTTTTAAAGGTATCGGATTGGCCAATATTTTTTTTAAATTGATCCGATCCCGAATGCATATATTTAAAAAAAAAATTTTGACTATTTTCTCTAGTAATACAGAACTCCTATAAAAAGTATCTTATAAAATAAAAATATTCAATGCTTTTCACATTTTTTAATGATAGAAGTAAAGTATATTAATAAACCAATATAAAAGAAATTTACCCAAAATTTTTATGTATTTTGTCTAGTTTATTCCATTACTTTTTTAAGAAATAACTTATAGTAAATAAAAATCATGCAAATTTAAAAATAATTAATTAACAGATGCCAATATTTTATCTCCAATCGATCCTCATGATTATAGGAGGGAAAATTTCTAAAAGTTTCTAACTTTGGCAAACATTACAACTAAAATTTGGCATCTCTTGCAAAAAGTGTTCAATCAGTCTACAGCACATCTGAGTATATAGATAATGTTGTTAAACAACTCAATTTTAGCTGATTTTAGGCTAACTCAATATTTTAGATTTGCCTAAGCCTCAAGATTTTGGTAAGAGATGTCCAAATCTTTGCACCATCTATGACCAAAATATTCAGGTTTGTGTAATATATTTCTTAAAATATAGTCAGCCATTTTTAAGTACACTAAAATGAGCTGCTTAACGAGGCTATTGTTACTTGCAACTATTGTTGCATTTAAAAAATTATAAAAAAAGTAAAATTTTCATTTTTTAAAGAACGCATGTTGTTTTTTTTTACCATTAACAATATTTATTTATTTCAAAATAATTTTTTTTTTATTTATAAATAAATATATTTTTTTTCATAAATAAAAATTATTTTATTAATGGTATTAGTCCCTCCTATGATCGAATCAAGCCCTACTGGAAATTATGAGATAGATACAACTCTTGCAGGTAAAAAATATTATTTATTATTATTACATACCTTTTGTAGTAAATGTTAGATATTCGTCATTCTTCATTTTAAAAGAATGGCTAAATAAATACGAAATTTCTAATGCGACAAATTATTCAATACACCATTCTAACAATATCTCCCTCTATGATGATTCCTTATGTGCTTTAAGGTGGTGGAAGGAATACAATTTATACCCATATTTAAGTGAAAATAGTATAAATTATGAAGAGGAAAGGGATGATAATATTGATATAGAAATTATTTCAAAAAATACTAAAAACAAATGTGAATTAACAGATATAGAAATATATAAAATGACACAAGAATATTTTCAAAATAATATTGGCAACTTTATTAAGGAGCTACCAAATGACCTGATGATTATATGCTTAAGAAACATGTGAAAAGGTATGTCCTAGAATATCTTAAAAGCAAAAAAAGAATAAATACATTGGAAAACAAAGAGAATATTAATAGTTTACCATCATCTTCTAATTCCTTAGAATTAGTTAAAAATTTAAAAATGCCTGAAAAAATAAATAGAAAAAAATGCACTACACTATTTTTAACAAAAAAAAGCTTTAAATAAAGAAATATAAAAAAAACATGCGTTCACTTTTTTATAATTTTTTAAATGCAACAATAGTTGCAAGTAACAATACCCGCTTAAGGACACTAGATAGATAATAGATAGCTTCTATAGGAGGAATTTATTATCATATAAACTTAATATCTTTATAAAGAAAAATATCAAATATTATAATTTTATATTTCATTATATATTATTTAATAAATAGATTATTTAATTTGTTTTTTGCTACACATAAAATTTAATATGAATATATATATAGTGTGCTGTATATAAATTTATACTTATTTTAAATAAAAATTCTGATCATCATTAAAAAAAATGATATGGAACTGTATGTATAATTATTCTCTAAGGGATATAACACATTACTTACTATATATTTTATAAGTAAAAACTTTTCTACAAATTTAACGACATAATTTTAAATCGTTGAAACTTTATTTGATTTTTAAGAGCTGGGATATGTGGTGTTAAGTATACAAGATAGCCTATTTTGTATGTTGCCATGATCTCATGCTAATGGTGAATGAAGGGTTACCCTGTATTCATAGTAGTAATCTGTATCTGGTCCAATTTTCCAAGCCTGGTCCAATATTCTTTTTAAAAAATTTTGTTTGAGATTGAGCTGGGAAATTTTTTTTATTTGCCCACCCAGCCCGAATTTATTTAAATATAGAAAAATTTAATTTTTTTATTTGGAAAAAATATATTCTACAAATAAAATATATTAGCCTTGTTTCTTGCAAGAATTTAAAATATATCAATTTATTTGACAAAATGTAATGATTTCCTATTTAAAAATTTACGCAAAATTTAAAAAAAATATTATATATGTCTAACCCAGTCTTAAAAATAGACATAGGCCAGGCTGGGTCGTAATTTGATCTTTAATTCATAGCAAAAATTCATGACAGAGAATACAAAAAATAGCTTATTTTAACCAAAGTTACGAGGATATACAAGATGGTGTTGTATGTTTAAAATGTGTTCTAAAATTTAATATTATTATATATCAAGTAATAATCAGGAAAATTTTTATATGTTTTTTTATATTATAATAAATCTTACCAATTAAATTAAAAATGGCTTACAATTAATGTTTACTTTTGCATTGAAGATAATGATGAAAAAATGGAATAATCACATTATTGCATTGTTCACAAATTCTTTCTTTAGTATATTTTTGTTGTAATACAAAATTATGTCCATTGATATGATAATTATCTTTGTGAATTGCTTGAGTTTCATTTTCCTGTTATAATTTTATTTAAAATTTGAATTTTAATGTTAACTGAAATTTGTAGAAGTTTCATTTTCATTTGAATAATTTTAAAAACTAAGTCATTGTACTCTTTTGTTCCTTTAACAGTAGATTTCAACAGCTTTTTACAATTTTCTATTAGTATTTCAATTTTTTCTTTATGTGTAAAACCAAAGCATATCTTACTTTTTAACGATTACTTTAAAATAAATATATTTTTGATACTTTTAGTGGGTCACTAATTTCATCATCAATATTCATGTCTAAATAGCTTAAAAAATTGGCTTCTAAATTTGGAGAGGATTTCAACCATACATCATGAGATGATTGTTCGTCTGTATAGAAATTACTCTTATTTTTAGACAAATCTTCCATTCTAGATAAATATTTTACCAATCAATTTGACTATCTCTCATATGTCAAATTTAGTTAATATATTTAAGACATCATTACATGTCAATATTTATGACATACATCTTTATCTGCTGATTCTTATTAATTATGAGTGAATTATTTCTAAGTTCTGATCTAAAAATAGAAACAATCGATTCAAATTTTGATGTAGCTATTGAAGGATGTGCTCATGGGGAATTAGAAATTATATATGACTTAATAACATTTGTTAATACAGAAAAGAGCAGAAATGTCAAGTTATTATTATGCTGTGGAGATTTTCAAAGTGTCAGAAACAATTCTAGGGATTTAGATAGCATGGCTGTACCTCCAAAATTTAGACGTCTTAATTCTTTTTATCAATATTACGAAGGTATTAAGAAGGCTCCCTGTTTGACAATATTTATTGGTGGAAATCATGAAGCTTCTGAATATTTATGGGAATTGCCATATGGAGGTTGGGTGGCACCTATGATTTTCTATATGGGTTGGGCAAATGTTGTCAATTTTGTATATGAATATAGTCCATTTGAAAAAGGTATATAAACAGCATTTTATTTTTTTAAATTAATTTGTATGAAATTTTTTAATATAATATCTTTATATAAAATAAATTGAAAATTCAATTTACTCAAATTATGAAAAGAAAATAAATTAGCTCTTCGAATTTAATCAATTAAATATATATTTAGGCAATTGGCATCAAATTATTATTAGGATAGCTGGAATATCTGGAATTTATAAAAAACAAGATTATAATATAGGACATTTTGAAAGACCACCTTTAAATGAAGACACAAAAAGGAGCATATATCATATACGTAATTTAGATGTTTATAGACTAAGTTTATTAGACACAAGTATCAACCCTATAAATATATGCCTTTCTCATGACTGGCCTAGTGGTATTTGGAATTATGGAGATGTTGATAGACTTTTAACCATTAAACCATATTTCCAGAAAGATATACAATCAGGTTATTATAATTATTTCAAAATTAATTGCTGTTGACTGACTGATGCTGAGAAGTAGAGATCTGCAAAGTTAGGCCCAACCCGAATTTTATTTAAAATAATCGGGTTTGGGCCGGGCCTAATATTTTTAAAAAAATTTCTGGCCTGGTCAGGTTGGACTTTGGAAATTTTATTAAATATATCTAAATTTATCAATTTTATATTGAAATTTGTTATGTAAAATAAAAATTTTAGATTTAATTTATTGAAACTAACATATGTCTTTTATTTTAAGTAATTATAAAAATTAATTTCTATATTTAAATAAATTTGGATCTGGCTGGGCGGGTAAATTTTTTATAAATTTTGGGATCGGGCTTTGCCGGCAAAACTTTTTTAAAAAAATTTTTGGGCCAGGCCGGGCTTGAAAAATTAGGCCTGATGCAGATCACTACTGAGAAGTATAAACCTGATATGTATCGAATACACTAGTAATGTACCACAAACAAAAAATAATTTTTATTTATTATCAAATCAATAATATATTAAATTAAATTTTAATCAGCTATATATATATATCACCGAGCAGGGTGAGAAGATTTTATATAGAAAGAAGTGTCAGAAATTATTGATTTAACATAATCAATTCCAAATTATACAGTGCATTTATCATGGAATCATAAGATACAAAAAAAGGTTTAATTGAAGAGTGATTTAATTTATTTGTAGGAATTGTAATATAGTGATTTGTTAATGTTCTCACAACTGATTAGCATGTTTTCTAACAGTTCTATCAGAAAAATTAAGAATATATGAATTAAGAGAACTTCTTGACCTAATCATACTCTTTGGCTAGCCTGAAGTAGTTTTTTCTGTATTCACTAATAAGTTAAAAATCTTTAAAATCTAATATCCTATATTTTGAATCAGTCATTCTTTATATATCTTGTAACTTTTCCATATCATTACAGGTAATTTATCCTGCCAATTGAAGCTTGCTTTAGTCTAGCTACATTACATCATCTTTGTAGGACTTCAACTAGTCACACTATATTTGCATATTTGCCTATACAATATGTCTAGTAGAAGTAGGTGCAGACCATGAAATTATGCATGACACAAGGTTACGGTGTGAGTGTAAATAAATTTTAAATTATTAAGTGTCACTAGGGTTACCAGATATCCTCTTTTAATAGGACATGTCATCTGTCCTCTTTTGAGATGTCCAAAAAGATGTCCAGTATCTATTTTAATTTTACTTTAATTTGTCCTCTTTTTAAAATAATTTTTTTTATGTATCCTCTTCTATACTTTTCTGATCGTTAAGCTTGATTATAAACAACTTATTATCACTCAAAAATACGTTGCATTTTTTTATATCCTTATGTCATTTCTTAAAATTTATGAAGCCTTAAAATCGTACTTTCCTTATAACTAACAATCCACCAATTATCAGAAAATTTTTGAAATTATTTATAAAACGCATATCTGTGGTTTGCCCATTCCTTGATGTGTATGTTTCATAGAAAAATTAAATCAATTGAGAATTAATATTAAATCAGTTATTGAAATGTTAAACCATTTAAAATATATTTGTAACCTGGAAGAAAAATGAAATAGTAAAGTCAATATTTGAAACAAATAGAATAAAAATGGGGAAAACAAAAATTGCATTTAATGAGTTGATCTTAGGTCAGAATCTCTAGAAGAAATCGATGAAAAAGTCTATAGATTTTTTGAATAATAAAAATGAGTCAAGTTGTTTGACTAATTTTGCAACCTTAAATTGTTTATTTTAAATAAAACGAGGTTCGTTGAATATACAATACTTCTTCACCAAAAATGGGTCAAATATTTCTATAATATTTCAATACTCGTGAACTGTTAAGCTTCGATTTTCTTACATCAGCAATTGATAACGTTGGAAGAATGTTCTCTTTAATCAATAGTCAATGGACAAATGAGAGGAATAGTGGAATTTAAATCTATAAAAGTGATTATATGCATGCAATACCATTTTAAATGGTTGTGTCCAGATTTTTTAAAATTTTTTAGAGAAATGGCCGAAATATTACGAAAAATATCTACAAGTGAAAAATATGAATAAAAAAAATTAACATTTGCAGGATAGTGCAATTTATTAAATGACTGCTTAATAATCAATTTAATTTTAAATTCATTTAAATTCCTTTAAAAATACATAAATAAATATAACCTCTTTTCCACTAAGCTGGATCTGGTAACCCTAGACGTGACGGGCCTTCCCAAAATTTTTGCAAGGTGAATATATATTTACAATTTTATAATTATAAAATATATTTTCTATAATTCATTTTGGGAAACAAAATAATTTTTGAAAACAAAAACAATTCGCATTTGTTTCATCATCACTACTAGGACATCAACAGTATAACTGGAAAATCGATTTCATATGTAGGGCTGTGCCGATATTTAATATCGGATTGGCACGGATACTTATCGTTTTCAAAAAATATTGGATCGGACCGATCTTTTTTAAAAATCTGATCCGATATTTTTTATTGTTTTGGGTTGTTATATTATCTGTAAAAAAAAATTTAAAACATGAACGAGTCATATTCAGTTAGTGTTGCTAAACGGCTAGATTTAGCCAATTTTAAAAACGATTAACTCAAAATTTTAGTCAAGAGTAAATTACCCTATTGATTTTTACCACAGATATCAGAGAGGTTTGGACTTCTATTGGCGAAATTTCGAGACATAGGCAATAATATTTTGGTTAAAATTTTGATTTGGCCCTTTTTAAAAATCGACTAAATGGAACTGTTTAACAACACTACATTCACCCATAAACTTTGCAAATATATTAAATGAGAATATTAACTTATGAAAACTAAAATATACTTAATCATTCGTGAAAGTTAGTTGGTATTTTTTAAAGTAGAAAATATAGATATATTTATGACATTGATACTAAGATAGACGGTAAATAAAAATTATTATAAATATCGGATCGGTATCAGTGGTTTTTAGTAGGATCGGTACAGCTTTACAATCTATCATTCCTCGATGATCTTTATGAATATTACATAAAATTATTCATTATGTCAAGGTTTCGAAAGGAACATCCTACTATTTTAATCAGAAATATCTGATCCCTTGTTAGTTCATTCTTTCAATTGAAACAATTTGTTAGCTTGCAATGATACTAATATGGTTAGCGTGTTTAATCCTAATTTTTGCAACCTTCTTGACTGATAATTAAATAAAGCGTAAGCTAAGACATTCTTCCTACTGGCCATATAGGTAATATCATAATCATATTGAGCCAACAGGCTCACCTTGTTAATAGATTATTAGATAGCTTGTGAAGATATCTTTTTTTTCTCTAAAAAGTCGTTTTAATGGCTTATGATCCATTATCAATCGAAATCTTCTCATATAACATGATGTAATTTCTCAATTTCAAGCAACAAATCGCGAGCTTCCTTATCTATTGAAACATAATACTTTTTCGAGTCCATCAAAGTTCCTGGATGCCTAGGCTATTGGTTTACGGAAAATACTTTCACATTAATGCTAATAATAATAATATAATAATATATTTAACCAATGGCACCTGGGCACCAGTATCGAAATCGATGTTAATATTTAAACCATTCACATTTGCTAATAGTTTGGCTTAGTTGTTCCTCTTTCCTATGTTATAAATCTAATCGTCGGCTCCAGATGCTTCCTTAACATAATTTAGCTATCAGATTCTACATTTGGCATAATTGCCATGCTTGTTGCATTTAAAACATGTATAATTAAACACAGGGCATCTATAACTCCGGTCCTTTTTTCTGGTACAACGTATAGTGATGCAAAATCACTCCATTTGAGCCGATTGCTGAATATCTGGAATTTAATAAATAAAAACCAGTTATAAGTGAAATAAAAATAACCGCAGACCTCGGAATATAAATTGCGATTCAATTAAGTTTAAATACCAGCGTTTGATCATTTTTTGCCTAAAATTTTGAGTAAAAAATCATTGAAGATCATAAAATCAAAGATTCTTTATGAAAAAAGATTTGAAATTGATAAAAAAAATCCTATTGAGAGCATTCTCTAAAAAATCTTTAAAAGCATTTCAAACTGTTATTTATGATTCTATTATATTTATAGATGAATTTTAGGATTTTTAGTTAATAGATAAGAACATTAATTTACACGATTTGTTGTATTATCTGTTATTAATAAAATTATAACATACTTTTATGATTATATTACTTAACGAATTTATTAATAAAATTAAGTTAAAACCTATTTTTTATATTCATTAGTATAAAATTGGTTGAAATGTACTGTGGGTCACGCCTGCCTCAAATTATTTTTACCTTATTTAGATAACAAAAATTTCAGTTTAATATGATAATTTTTTATTTCTAGAAATTTTTTACGGGGGATTTTTTTTCCGTTAGAAGGTTTTTAATTTCTCCAATTATTTTTTTAAATACAATCTTCAATTTCATTTTGTAAATAATTTTTTTCCCATCCTTTTGTCTGTTCTAAACATGTAAGTTTTACCAATTATAGGAGTAAAATATTTTAAATATCATTATATTTTGAATCCAGTTATATTTCAAAAATTTTGATATGAACCTGACTAATGTTAAGATCAAAAAATGAAGCTTGCCAAACTTTTGAAAGCATGGTTTCTTAAGCTTAGGCCACTATGTATGCTTAAATAGTAAAATATTAGTTTAATCTTCAATTCAATGAAAATTACAAAAAATTAATATCAAGAAAGACCGAACAACGAAATATTTAGAAGCATTAATGCAATTATAATTTTAAAAAATTAAATAAACAAAAATATCTTAAATAATATTTACTAACATTATCATTATAAAAAAAAATCAACTATTTTTAAAATCATATTTAGTAAGGCAGAACACTAAAAACAAAAACTATTTATCCTTAAAAACACAAGAGAAATAATTTATATCACTTAATTTTTTATACAAACTAAATTGGGAAATATTATTAAAATTATATG